ATGCTCGTGTATCGAATGTAATATCAACGTGAAGAAGCGACCAATAATAAATATAGTTAATTCAAATTAAAAATAATTAAAAAGCCCCAATTAGCCAGGGACAAAACGATCGCGGTTAAAGCAAATACACGAATTACGCATACATACAAACCGGACGAGAGGATTCGTAACTCAAGCGCGGAACGATCGCAATGCAGCCGCACACACACGCGCGTGGTTAGTTAGCTCTGCGGTGACAGCTCGTTGCTGCAACGCATGATGCACGAGTGTTGGCGCGCAATAGAGCCCGGCCAACAAATGGAATCAGCATGTATAATGCTAGGTGTCATTTTACAGTAAGCGCGCGAACACGCAGCAACAGCAGCGGTGATTTATATGCAAGCGCGAGTCTCCCTCTCTCTCACTCGCTCTCGCTCGACAGTTCTCGCAGTGGGCTCGAGCGTATACGTACGTACAGCAGTGGTAGGTATATATACACGTCGAGAATTAACCGCACGGCACGCGCTTAATGCCGGGCTATCGGGTGTCGTTGTAATTGGGACCCTTGGGAGAGGCAGAGACTTGGCAGCGCGGAACCCAACTCTCTCTCTCTCTCTGTATATATACGCAAAAGCTGACACCTACATATCCTACCCGCGCGAGCATTTGTTTACGCGACAAACAGATACGATTGTCAAGTAGCCGAGTAAACGAATGAGACGACGACGAGGCGTCACGATTAATCTTATCACGCGCGCAATTTGATTTGCGCTACGTGCGTAATGGGTAACGCACCACCTATATAATATACACTCGCGATCGCTCGCTCGATTTATCGCGCGTGATTCGGTTTCCTTTCCGTGTTGATGTCGTATGTCTGGATGCCCGTTTTTCTTCATTAATGCGTCGCGTTTCGGCGACAAATTAGCGCACGAAACTGCGGGCCTATATGAGGTAGGTATCGAGCTTTACATTCACGACTGAATAAAAACACGCGTATTGTTAATGTCTCGAAAATAAAGGCGTCGTTCTCGTGGTCCATCGACGGTGAAAAAGAGACAGAGACAGAAGGGGCTTTTAAATTCATTAAGTATCTTTCTTCTCTATCTGTTTCTCTGCCCACAAAATCTCAGTTGCTGCTGCTTTGCTGCTGGGTATAACAGTGGCAAGTCGCGCAGCGGCGATCGTAAAGTCGAAATCCTTATTGTCGTCTCTCTCTGTGTACTGCTGCAGTGCTGCTTCTGCTGGATAACCAGCCGTAGAGCCTCTCTCTCTCTCCATATTTCAGCGACATAACTCTCGTGCGTAAACGAATGTTCTCTCTCGGTGTGTGTATATATGCGCGCGTATTTCGCGACTACAAAGCCCATAAAGGTCATCCTTGTTGTTCGGGCTACAATACTCTCCGTGTCTTTGCTGTGTGTTGTGTGTACCTCTTCCCCATTACACACACATACACATACACATATATATTTCCTGCATACTTTAGCCGTGCGCCACCCTCCTTTCAACGCGCCCAACGAGCAGCGCCCTGACGCTAAATAGGCTCGGGCGAATATTTCCACCCTCTCTCCTTTGCCCCCCTTGCCTCTGCCTCTCTCTCTCTCTTTCTTTCTTTCTCTTTCTCTCCTGGGATATTTTTATGTATATGTATAAAAGTGTACAATCATAGCGGCACACAACTTGGCACTCGTAAAAAAGCTAATTTATTTCGACCACTTCAATGAATAGAAAAAAAGCTCAGAGCTAGCTGTGTGTGTGCTTCTTGCGGTGTGTTGCCTGCCGCGCAGTTATCAAAATTTATGAATCTCTAAACCTAAATATATATATCCGAGTATATATACATTTTTTCTCTGGAACGAGGCGCAGGCGTGTACTCTCCTCGCTACTTTTAAATAATTATTATACGCGCGAAACCGTCGTCGACAAATTACGATTCAGCCCATTGATTAGACTGCGTTAATTAAATTTTTATTTTAAAATTACCCGCGCCAGCCCGCCCGTCCGCGCGCGTTAGCTCTGTGACATGGAGGGGCGCTTTCCCTTCCTTGCGAAGTGTATATATCCGAATGAGTGAAGAAGTGCAGAAAAACGTCTTGTTAACGCTATTAAAACTTGTCTCTTAAGAGAGCTTTTTTGGGTGGATATAGGCGGATACTCTGCACAGTTGCGCGCGTATAAATATAAACTCTCCTTTCTGATTAAACGAGCTTATGTAGCTAAAAGTAGACTTTGGTCATTAGTTCGATTGAAGTCGAGAGAGAGAGAGAGAGAGAGAGAGCGAAATACGTTTTGGAAAATAAAACGATCCCTCATCAATCATCTTCGGTTGGATTTCGAAGCGAGAGATCCTTTAACGCCGAGTAGCCTCCCACGTTATGCGCTTTACTGTATGGATATTTCTTCGACGCGCTCGCAGCAAGTTCAAGAATACGTTTTCGCAATAAGAATTAAATGATAATTTAGAAAATATATGCGAAACCCATTACAAAAATATACGGTAAATTATATATAAAAGCATTGCTACGGACTTCATATTTATATGAGTCATATTTATCGAACTATGAATTATGTTTTTACTGCGTGTTTTCATTATAATTCTGCTAAGCCATCTCGTGTTCAAAACAATCAACCTTTGTTTATCTCAACTGAGATCATTCAATTTCGATATGTCTTGTTTTGGTGTAACAGGTCTGCTAGCCGATCTGTTACTTATATAAATATTAAAATATGTCTCTTGAATTATTTGAAAAAAAAAACTATTTATACATTTCTCATCGTCCGAGTGGAGGAAAAAAATTAGATAAAAATGCTTTTATACTTTTATATAAGAGCCGCACATAAAGGTCATCGATATACGCATAGACAAGAGAGAGAAAGACAGATAATAAAGCACCTCGCATCGATATCTGTATTTGCACTAGAAAAAGATATCGCGCGTCCGAGGTTTGCCGAGGGAAACATGGGGTTGGCTGGTCGATCGGCTGCGCTGACAGCAGGAAAAGGAATCGATGCACTCGGGCTATATGTGACTAGCTGACGCGAGACGACGACTACCACGACGGACATATCGTCATTCATTGTATGTATATATAGTATTGACACGAACCAGTTTGACTAATGGACCGATTGTTGTTTCAGGCTCGTGTTACTCGGCTCTCTTTTATCGTATCTACGGCCATTCGCAGACGCGCGCACAAACACACGTACGTACAATTATATCCTATGTCGCTGCATACGTCGCGCGCTTGGAATACAACATGGGAAATCTACCTAGCGATTGAACGTTTTCAACCGATGAATGACCACATCTCGATTGGATATGTAATCAACAATTATAACAACGAATACTAGCATGATTTGAAACTGCTGAATGATCGCGGTGGGGATAATAACAAAGTCGATCGATTCGTACGCTAGATGGCTTAGCCAAGTGAATATGTAAACACGCGATCAAAACATCGTTCGTAATTCGATAAATAAGTATTGCTAATTGTTGTTAGTTTATATCTCAACGCATTTTCTGTGATATTGAAAGTAGTTTTAATTTTTGCACATCTCTCGAAAAAAAGCTCGCATCGGCCATTTCACACGAACACGTACGTCAGGCACACCGCACCGTCCCTGCGGACCTCTGCAATGCACGACGCTGGGCTCTCGCATCATAATCGGTCATATTTTTTTCCATGCGATCTGCGGAGCCCGGAGGCCAAATATATTCTTTCGCGTGTATATATACGAATTGAAAGAAAAACGTCTCTCGTCGTGGCCTCGTGTGCTCTATCCTCTGTCTCTCTCTCTTATATTCTTATGCTTGAAAAATGAATCTGGCGTCTTTGATGAGACCGTTCGATACGTATAGCCGCGCGCACGTAGTGTACGACCAGCGGCGGATACGTGTAACGTACTTATACACATTGCGCGGCGCGAATATACGAAGGCGCGCGCGCAAAAGGGCTTGCATACGTCGGAGCCCACAGCGACTCTCGTATACTCTCTCCGTGCGAATGTGATGTGTGTATTGTGTCGCGTTCGCTGTGTTTCGATCATATTTTATATTTGTTACACATATCGCCGAGGGCGAAAATTTCGCTGCCTCATTCGTCCGCATTCAATTGCATACATTACTTCGTCACTCACTGTGAACCTATGTATGGTATATTTTAGAGCTTTCGAGTCGAATAATGATAATCTTTTATGTTTTGAGGAAAAAAAAATTATTTAAACTATTCGTGATAAATCAAACTTTCATAAAATGTTCGAGAAGCCGAGTCGAGCGAGAATCTCTGAAACAGCAACGAATGATCTCAAAGGGATGCTCGTCAATATCACGTACTGATGCTCACACATACACACACTTACGTTAGACAAAGACACAAAGTTTCGTTCGCGCGCAGAGAGTAAGACAGAGAGAGAGCGAGAGGAGGTTATAAGGGAGCCCCATAAACGAGACTTTATAGTAAAACTATTCAGTTACCAACTGACATCCGATACATAAACTTAGTTTGAGTGATCATGCTAGTCCGCGCGCGTTGGCTGGTCCTTTGGCTGCTGCTGCTCCTGCATGTCTTATACTTGTTCGAAAGGAGTTGACTTGTCTCTCTCTCTCTCTCTCTCTCTCTCTCTCTCTCTCGTCCTCCTCTATACTCCGCGTTAATACCCACGCGGCCCAAGTTCCAATGGAATAATGGCGTTTTATACGGCTGTGTGTGTGTGAGCGAGAGCGTATATCTTTGGCTTCACTGAGCATATACGGTTCATTCATCGTACGATGTCGTTAATACGTTATACAAGCGCTAGTTCGCGAATTGTCCGAGATTCGAACTATCTCGGAAATTACGTTATCTAAAATACTTATAAGTATACATTTTCAGGCGAGAGAAAAATATAATAGATGAAAAAGAGAAGGGGCGCGACCCTCAGACCGAATGCAAGCTCTCAATCGTGCACGAGCGAGGATCAATTCTTAATTATCGATAAAGATCCTTGAATATATTAATCAGAGAAAACATCGTACTTACCTCGGATTTTCTGTTCATCTAACAATTGACGTTCCAGATTGTCCTTCACTTGTCTTTCCCTCAAAACGTCCATTTGTAGTTCAGCTGCAATTAGAAAAAAAACAACATTACAATTGAGATGTTCTCTCTTGTAATAAATATAGATAGATGTGTAACACGCGAGCAACGTTAGTTTTTCATTCGTCGTAACATGATTTATTATTTTCCTATGGGTTCGTTATTTATATTTCAATGGTTAATGAATCAAGACATAGTCTTACCTGAGGTACACCAAACACCCCAAAGAAATAATGATATAACGCTCAAAAAATGGCCGCTAAAAATATTTTAAAATACACTAAGATTCATCGGTTTTTGTGACGATAAAAATCTATTACAATTATGTGACAAATATAAGAAGCATTTTAAATGACCTAAAATTGACAATTTTATTGTTTTAAAAAATTTAGACTGATTTTTAACTTCTTCGAAAATATCAATTCAAATCTCTACCACTAGATGGCTAGTACCTTTATCTTTAAATCTGCAAGTAGAAAAGTAAAAATAATCGTATAATTCAAAGCAAGATTTTGAAATTATTTGATTATACATATTGGTTTGTATGAGTAGTATTTCTTTAACCTGATAACATTCTAAACTCATTTAAATCCAAGAGTTAAGACTCGACCGTAGTTAAGAACGTCTTCGGTCAGACTGATTCGCCAATAAGATAGAGAGATAGAGAGCAAAAACGAGACAAAGATAGTGAGAGAGAGAGAGAGAGAGAGAGAGAGAGAGAGAGAGAGAGAGAGAGAGAAGATTTGAAACTCGAAAATCACCGCCTATACGATTCACCGGTTCCATGATTAAATTCGGCGATGAGCATAGTTTGAGTAGCTCTCGTTGTAATAGAATTACTCGGAATTATATAGCCGGGAAGCTGCCTACTTCGGCAGTTTCTTCGCTGGTGGTACACCGGTGGCCGCGAGGGAGTCGAATTAGCCATTTCGAATATCTTTTGGAATATAATATGTATAAAGGTAGGAGTAGGTACGGGTGGTAGTAGTAGGCCCCACCGAAGGGACATCGAGAGAGAGAGCAGAGCAGAGCGCGACAACGCTTGATTTCACCCGACGACTACGTCTGTGTATTATAATACCTCACATCGGAGTAAGAGTAAGAGAGAGAGCCTAGAGCCAATAGCCCGAGAGAGCCTCAAGAACAAGACCTCCGCTCACACAATGTTAGGAGAGGACTTTAATGAATGTAAGATGTTCGTGCATAAGCTGGTGCCGCTGCTGCTACTGCTTCTCTACAGTGTGTTGTCGAGTTTACTGATTGGTTGGACTTCTGGGGATTCGAGCTTTCGAGCAAAATGAACTTGGCGCTCGGTGGCGGCGGCTCCGCAGCGGCGTTGGGCGAATTCTCGTTTACTTGGATTATTCATGCTCTTGACAGATTTGCGATGAAGATTTAGCGATATTTTTTTCTCTGCTGCAGCTGTGCATAGTTCAACTATACACCATACTTACATTGCACGATTGATGCTTCTTCCGCCGTGTACACTATGCATCTCTCTCAGAGCTCCGTCTTATCGCAATCTCTCTCTCTCTCTCTCTCTCTCTCTCCACGATCGAATCTGCATATTCACGAGTATTATAACTTAGAGCAACGCGTTGCAAGTACGTGGCGTATTTATTCAACATAAATTCAACTTAATTATTTCATTTCGTATTGTATGATTAGCGCCTTTTCTTGGCGCGCGTGTATATAATGAACAATGGCGTCTGCTGCTGGTGAATTAAAAAAAAATAAAACTCGATTGTGTGCCGCGAGTTTGTGCTATTGTATTCCAATACGCGAGAGAGAGAGAGATCATTGTAAAAAAAAGCGTTGGATCGCGATAACGATGAAATAACGTATGATCCTTTCCCAGGGTCACACAGTGAAACGTACGCGTTTATATACGAATCATCGCTTAAAGTATAATATAAATTGCGATATAAGCAAATTTCAGTAATGTATGCCATTAGTCGGCTCAATTATCGAATGTACTTATGCACCATGCGAGGGAGGCGCGAACACTACAAAACTAGGCTCGACTTGCGGTTTCGGCGACTCGTTTTAAAGGTTCTCTGGCCGATTGTAAAACCGCAGCCTTGGTGGCGCGGGGCACATAGAAGATGCAAAAAGTATAGTCGGTCTTCGGCTGTAACGGATCATCGCTCGCTCGTCGAGCTTTTTTTTTATTTCACGCACGATGCATAGGAATCCGTACTACATCCGCGCCTAGTAAGTATATAGTCGGACTATATGGCTAATTTTTAGCAGCAGCGGTGGTGGTGGCACCCTATAGCTACTTTTTTTCTCTCCCTCGTAGTCGTCGCCGAAGTCGGAGTTGGAAGTCTTTTTTTCTCGAAGGCATACTCGAGTTACACTTTACACAGTACCGAGCTAGCTGTAGCTGCCGTACACTCTCTGCGGCGAGGCGCAGGGTAAACTCGAAGCCGCTGCTCTGCCCCCCTCCCCCCGCGCGCACAGCAACGGCAGCAGCAGTGCAGAGCCCTTGTATATATACCTCGAGCCTCGTTTTAGAGGATGCTAAACGAGCCGTGTCGAAGTCGCGAAAAAATTCCTTCTTATTCTCGCGAACTCACTGGCAAACAGAGACTTTTCTTTTCTTGACATACCCTCTTGACTCTGTCTCTCTCTCTCTCTCTCTCGACTAAATCGATTGTCTGCGCCTCGCTGCCGACGTTGTTGGGGGGCCCACCGCCACGCGAAACTTCGATATAGAACGGCGCGATGACAATGAGACTCGAGTATTACGCGAACGGTGGCTCGAATTCATTGCTTCGCGATGCACACGGAGCGCGCGTACATCCGCTCCGTGGATTGTCTCGTCAAAAATAAACACACTGAAAATGACCTGATCGTGAAAAAAATCACCATTTACAATGATGATAAGTTAAAATTATGCTATAAATATCAAGCTCATTTTGAATGATCGAAAAGTGACAATTTTTAATTTCATGACGGTAAAACTAAACTTTGAGCTTTTAACGCTAGATGGCAAATACCTTTATCTGCAAATCTGCAAGAGGCAAAGTATAAATGATTGTCAAAATGAAATGAAGTCAAAGCACTAGTTGAAGCAACAATTTTATGAGTTCTTCTGTGTGATGGAAACAAAAACTTTTTCATAGTTCAAAAACCGACGAGCATATTTCTACCAGGCTTGAAAAATAAAATGCTTAATTTCGGGCTGGAGTTTGGTGCTCGCGATCCCGTACGATATCAAACGCGAACCTCCCAATTTATATTCACTCGTGCCCCGCATTGCCGTGCGTATATATCTGCGCGAGTATATCTATGTATAATACGAACATATATATAACAACTCCGCAAGCTCCATTAACTAAGCTCCAACTCGTTCGACTCTCTTTCCACCGATGAGCGCTCTGATGCTGCTGCTACTACTGCGCGTACATATATCCTACTCTCTCTCTCGCTCACTTTTGCCATCGAGCGCGAAGATTCAATTTGAATGCTAACCAGAATAGGAAGTTCAGGTCTGGATACACAGCAGAGCAGAGCAGAGAGAGCAGCGCGGAATATCCTGTTATTGCCAATTTTGCAATGAACCGGCAGAAGCTATATCGTCGTCGTCGTCGTCGACGTCGCTGCTCACGGGAACACACTTTGCGCGATCGTTTAGATTATTATCTGCCCTGCCTCGATGCGCCGCCAGCCATATCCAGCCCCGCGTACATACATACATATATACACCGAGTACAGCCCAGCCAACCGTCTGTCTTTTATCCGGACTCACTCGATGTGTATAAACGTGTGTATGCGCGTTCGCTGTCACCGTATATACCGCTACTACCGGCGCGACTTTTTTCGTGGATAATTGAGCTTTGCGTATAGCCACCTGCCACGTACACAAGCACACACATCGGACACACGTGTGTGTGTTTTGTGTTCATTGACGCGTGAGACATTTTCCATTTTTTGCTCTACGCGCGCCAACAGTTCGACGCGCTAATTGATCATTTGTCCGAGCGCACCAATCGACGATTGTATCTGTCACGCAATCGATGGGCGGAGGATCGACTTATTTACGTATCGAATCTAAAATTAAACGATTTGAAATCTCGGGTATATATTGTTAATCGTTAATGATATATACGATAATGAATAATTATCAAGTACGCACTCGCATAAAGCACTTGACCGATACGATCTCTCGCGCTCGATCCAATTTAATATTTGCCTATATTATTGCGCGTTCAATTTAATTACCATACGAATTGAAAATAATAATAATTTTGTGTTTTTTTCTCCCTCTCCACGTGCGATGCGCCGCGCGTTCTTACTTTATTTCAATTATCCATGAAGCGCGCGCGCCCGTGTGCTCTCTCACTATCTCTCTCCGCCCAGTATAATATAATTGCGTTCCAGCTCATAAAACACGACTGATTTAGAGTCATGATTGGCCTTAATATCGCGTCTCGCTTCGCAAATCAAATAGCTGTAATTATTTCAACGAGTGAGCAGCGGCGGCGGCGGTGCCGAGCTCGCGCGATTCGCGAAATTTAATTGAAATTCGAAGGGTATATCTCGCGTAACGAAGACAAGTGCAGCCCAGAGCTTCCCGAAGTAATCTTCCGAAAATTTGAATAATTTCGAGAGATCTTATGTACGGGTGAGAATAAGATCGGACTACGGTTGAATCGGCGCGCGTTAAGCCGCGATGTTTATTCTCGGGCGAGTTTTCGATTACCCCCGCGCGCGGGGCGCCTATATGTATATGTGTCGCCCTCAAAAATAACAATGTCAAAGCTACTCCCTCATACGATATGGAATCGTTTGAATGCCGCGTGTAATGTAATTTCCATGTTAGCCGACGATACATGGCTCAGTTCTTTTTTTTTGCCTCTTATAAATTATTCGACGATCGAGTGTTTCTTTACTTTGAGGGATCGACACTTCTCCGCGTATATAAGTTTTTTTCGACGTCTTATACCGTTACGACTTATATACATATTTTCATTATGCAATGAAAGTGTACGAAGAAGCAGAGCAACAGCAGCCTGGACTAT